AGTTTTGTTTTCCTTTTAATTTTGGTCATGGAATATTTGCAAAATCAATTAGGTACTTATTGTTAGATTTTTCAATATCCATCCAAATCGTTGTACGCAAGTGTCACGTTGTGTTTAGTCACTTTCTGATGGCAACTTTGTCATTGTATAAATGAAACATAAATTAGTTGGTGAAATTGGCACTTAGGTGATGAGGGGTAAATTTAAATCACACAAACACAACCACAAACAAGAATGCACACAAGGCATGCTACAATGTACCTGCAACCCTAGAAAAGTACTAGTGACAACCTAGGCACTCAGAAGGACCCATCAATCTAGGCATCCCCTGTGCTAGCAACAACTATGGTGAAAGTGTGTGAAAGCATCATAATCAAGTAAATACCAAACAGCAGATAATGATGACTAGTCAACCACCAAGAACACTAACCCAGAAAAATTACCGATATGCAAACCAGATTTTGTTCACCCAGAAACCCACCATTGGGAAAAACTGGAGGTCATCAACCGACCAGGCAATCCACTAAGTAGAAAAAGATTCTTACAAAGGAATACAAGCAAGCTCAAGCAAAACCTAGATCTATTTAGGAAGATGAGCTATACCTCCTTTGTGCAATCTTCTTCTCCAACTTAGCAAAGCTTGAAGCTCAGTTCTTCATGGCAATGGCAGCTCCTTCTTCAGCTCGTTCATCCCATGGCACTAGCTTGCAAGCTCCAACTCAAATCAAAACCAAATTTGGATTCAAAGGAGAATGACCAATTTCTTCAAGAAACCATACTCTTGAAGAAATCAATCTTGAATCTGACCTAGATATAAATGAGAGAGTGTTTTAATTAGCTAGATGCAGATTTTCATTTTTCAAATGCAGTTTTCAAAAAGAAACAATTTGGAAAACTCAAAGATGAGAAATATGAAGATGGCTCTTGAGGAAGAAGCAAAAGTTTCCAAAGAAACTTTCCAAAACTTGCCTACAAAAGTGACAGCCCCCAAAAAGGAATACAGAGGTATTTACACCAAATTCCTTAGGTCAGAAACGTCCAATGACAGCTGAAAAATTTGCAGAATAAAACAAAAACATATGGGTAGGATCCAGTTGGAACAGTGAGCTGGAATTCCTACTGAGGCAAAGGTTGACTAGTCATAATCTTCAGAAGTTGGAAAATGCAATGCAAATTTACCTTTGTCAATTTGCTTGAACCTCCATAGGATAGTTGATAGTTAAGAACACCTAGAGAAGCTATTCTTAATCTAAACTTGAGCTTGATAAAAACAATAAAAATCCTATTGCAAAATTGTCAAGGGAAGCCAAAAGAAATACTCAAAATTCATACATTAACAGTTGGTTAAAAGAAACTAGAAAATAAGAAATGTCAAAAAAGCAAAAGAAAAATATCCCTACTCCCCTCTCTTTGTTGTTTAAACCATCATTTGTACTTAAAAAACATTAATAGATGATGGTGAAAATCTCTCCCTCTTTTACTCGAGTGTTATCAATAAACTCTTGTTATATAACACGTTTATATGTTTATTAATAGTTTGTAGTAGGATTATGAAATATGAACTTGTACCCCACTTATATTGTATTACATGAACTTGTAACACCTATGTGTTTGTGACACAACTTAAGACCCAATCTCTAAAGACTTTTAATTGTGTAAAAGGTTATTGTTAGAAATGAAATGTTTAATATTAATACTAATATTTATATTTTTTTCAGAATTAGGATGTGAATCTGGTTGAAAATGAGACCTATTTGCGTTTAATCGAAGAGGTCAAAACCTAAAAGACAATACATAGTTCGGTAATTGTTTTAATGCTACAATTTTTATATGGATAAGTATGTCATGCAGTGGCTAATAAGATTTTCCTAAAGCTAAAGCACTTGGTCATATGGATAATGTATTGCTACTGGCAGGTTTGCTCTTTACCGTCAACATAATAAGATGATCATCAGCCAATTGCTATAGAAGATGAGTAGACTTCGACTTAGACACAACCTAGTTATATTCAAGAAACGAATCTTTGTTTCGACGGTCCATTTTGTTTGGCCTACATATGGTCAGTGTCAATGGTCCATACCACGAGATGGAAAGTCGCGCGTTGATTGGTTTGCAATTGAAAGGTTGCAATATTATTTATACTTTATGAAAATATAGAAATGCTATATGGAAATTTGAAATGCATTACGAAATTTGGTTTTAAATGTGGGATAAATTATGGAATGATATGGTAGTACCACGTTGTGTGCATCTTGGAGCTTGCCAATCCCAATATATTTCTAATTTGATTATTTTGTTAACAATTTTATTCACAAAAGCATATAGGATCCGAAAACGAACCAATTAGTCCAAAATAAACTGAATAAAAAAAAGTAGCAAATATAATTAGAGTAGATGTAATAAATGTGGCATATAGGTCACAGAACATACAGGGTGTGAGTAGTAGAAAAAGGGTGGCCGAATGAAAAAGCTGCGCACCAAACTGGCACAAATTGAAGCTGGGTTTGAGGTCTCTCTGCTAATTAAATTGGGTATATGATCAAGTAATTGAAGCTATTCTCTGCTTAAAGTTTGGAAGGAGATGGCTGAGTCCACTTGTGCTGTCAACTTGATCAAATTACTATCTGCTGATGTGAAGTGAGAAATAAGAACCACATCTTTCTTTAGAGCCTTATCAATAACTGTTGTTTGCGATCCACACATTGTTTCTTCTGCCTTTTCTTTTTCGCATTAGCTGAGCTGTTATACCGTCTATTTATGTCGTCTTAATTTACTTACGAACAACATAGTAATCAAGAATGATTAAACATTGAATGATGACTTACAAAGTGAATGGTTTTTTCCTTTCTTTGTTCTAAAAATAAACGGTTTTGTTCATGTTTTTTTTCTTTCTTTGTTCTAAAAATAAACGGTTTTGTTCATGAGATGACTTGATGAAATATGCCCAAGTGAGTAGTTATTGCCATGCCGTATTAATTTACTAACCGATTAGTGCTTGAGCATCCTCATGCTTCTCATTAAATGGTCAATTTGATTCATTTGAATTTTTTTTTTTTTCAAGATACTTTGATTGATTAAATTGAATGCACAGTCAATTTGTTTTAGTCTCGAAGTTTTGTTTTCCTTTTAATTTTGGTCATGGAATATTTGCAAAATCAATTAGGTACTTCTTCTTAGATTTTTCAATACCCATCCAAATCGTTGTACGCAAGTGTCATGTTATGTTTAGTCAGTTTTGTTGGCTTGAATCACTTAATCACAATAGGAATTATAGACAATTACCTTTATTATAATTGATTTGTAATTATAGGAATACTGATTTGACCAAGATTGTATTTATTTCCTTTTTCCTTATTGTAATAAATACCTCCTTCTGAGAAGAATGGAAATATATTGAATTATTCATAACCCTAAATTCTATTTGAGTAGTTTTGATGGCAGCTTTGTCATTGTATAAAGAAACATAAATTAATTGATTAAAAGAAACTAAAAAATAAGAAATCTAAAAAAAAAAGCAAAAAGAAAAATATCCCCCCTAAGCCTAGTCCCTTCCATCCTCTCTGTTTTCTTCTTCTAGCACTCTGTTACTTTTTTTTTTGGACAAAGGAGCTTTCATTGAAACCAACGGAGGAAAACAAACAGACAAAGAACTAAGACTCAGGGAAAGTTGCTAAACTCGCAGAGTCTAGAAACCAAAACTCTCCCCACAGAGACAAAACAACATAAAAAAAACAATTTAAGGGGGACTTGGAAGTCCATCAGAAGCCAGAACACGCACTAGGGACGGAGGTGGCTGGTTAGCCCATCCTTGCGGACACACCGCCCTTAAACCTATCGCCGCGGTCACATGAGCCGCTCGATTTGCTCCACGAGGGATCCAACACCATTCCACATCAGAGAAACCTGCACTTAGGCGCCTGATCTCATCCAGTAAAGGGAGAATGGTCCATGCCTTCGTGCAAACTTTACCCTTGATATTATCAATGAGGTGTTCTTCGTGATTGGGATGTCCTTCATTACTTTGTTTGGGGTGTTCTTCGTGATTGGGATGTCCTTCATTATAAGGCTTTCTGGTTCATCCAATCCCACTTATTTAATGAGTCCTGCTTGCTATTTGAACCAACTTATCTGACCACGTGAGGGAGGAGGAGATATGAAAGGGACTACGAAAATAATAATAAAAAGAGTTATAAAGATATAACATTTTATTTTTGATCTTTAAAAATTATCAAACAAACACAGTCAACCAATTTTATTTAAAAAATATTGTTTGATATATAGACACACACAAACACTTGGAAATGGAAAAAAAGGGGTTGATTAATGCTTGAAAGATGAAGGCTAAGAACCTTATACCAAAGAGAAGATTTCGTTACGAAGATGTCCATGCATGGGTTGTCAGGGGTAGGATTTTGTTTGTTAAGTACCATAATTATCTGTCTTCAATGTCGGGCAGGTTTTCTTGGATCCCAAGGAACGAGTACAAGCTGCCAGCTGGAGAGCTTTTCTGCAGTTTACAGGAAGCTTTCAGGAAAAGATGTTGCGTTTGAGTACCCAATAACTGATGCATAGAAATATTGTGCGATGGCGCCTTCCAAATACCCGACCCTTTTCTTTATATTTTCTAAGAACTTCTGCTCATCAGGCAGTCAATTCAAAATTTTGATGTTGAGGGCATGTGTGTTGCGTGCCTTTGGAAAGATTTTGGTCTCTTCAATAGTAGCACATTTAAGTTAGGTGATATTGGATAATGTAGCATTTTTTGTTTTCTCTTAGACTTGCTTCTTTTCATTGACAAGTTTGCTTTTAGTCTGGTGATGTTGTTTTGTTTATTGTCTATTGATGATTTTTATCAATGAATACGCACTGGAAACTAAAGAAGTTTCTATGAACTAGTTATGGTTCTTTGTAATACAACCTCAGTATGTTTGATTCAGCATATTATGCCATGGCTTTTCTTAACTTCTCTAACATGCAAAAGTTTTGGTTACAATCTCTCAAGAAAATGTCGTTGAGATAAACTTCATGAGTTTGAGGGTTCAACAAAAGAGACATGTAAAAAAGCAGAGTACTGGAAGAAATACCAAGATTTATGAATTTAATTACAATTTATTGAATTGCACAAATCACAGAGTAAGCATTTCCCAAGCACTTGGTGCAACTGAACACAGCAGGAAAAAAACATTCAACAAAAGAGTTCACAGATGAAGCCTCCATTTGCAACCAGCACAATAGCAGAGCTAAGGGACATGAACCAATCCCTAAAGCCAAAAGTAAGGACTTGAGGTTCCAAAACCAACAGAGCTCCGATATAAATCACACTTCTGTCACAAACCAGTTATAGACATGGATGGCAACACAAGCATAACACAACAGGAATTGGAATGCCTAAATGCCAACACAAATCACACAACCATTTCCAAATTCTTAAAAGTAAGGACTTAGAGGTTCCAAAACCAACAGAGCTCCGATATAAATCACACTTCTGTCACAAAGAAGTTATAGACATGGATGGCAACACAAACATAACACAACAGGAATTGGAATGCCTGAATGCCAACACAAATCACACAACCATTTCCAAATTCTTCGGCCTGTGCCATGGGGCGGCCGCTTGCAAGCTGGGTGAGGGTGGAACAGAGATAATTGTCAGAACAAGTAAAAATGTATTTATTGAATCGTACCCACTACATACTTATTTAATGGTACCAGTGTATACTTACAGTGAAACTATTTAGGACTTGTGGTGCAAACTATGGAATATGGAGTCTTGCAGCACTAACTTGTATGGGCAATCAGCTGCTTCCCTCCCTGGAAATATATTGTATTGCATTACAACGAAACATACAACCAAACATTTTATTAATATTAATGACAACTTACAGTTTCATTGCCATCATCATCTTCTTCTTTTTCTTTTTCTTCTTCCACTTCCTCTGTTATTTGTAGTCTTTCTGGTCTTGAACTACTTTGGATCAGTGACTTATCAGGGGAAATCTTCAACTCGATCAGGCATTTCTCGACGATTAAGGAGTTTAATGATGGGACCCTGATAGTGAAAATTTCTGATGAGCAAAAGCCTTGCAGAATTGGTAGATCATAAAGTTTCAAATGTTGCAAGGAACTGAAAGCAATCTCGTAATAATTTCCTGAATCTTGTTCATCTTCGTTGCTTGCTACTATCTCTATCATGCTTTCACAGTACTCAACTTCCAAAATTTTGAGTTGCTGTAAACATTTAGCCACTGAATAAGTTGTTAAGTATTTCAGTCCGCCACAACGCCATACATCCAAAGTGGTTAGATTCCGAAAGGATATTGCGGATGAAGTTACATTCTTTAATTTTGCACATCTGTACACCTTCAAAATTTCCAAGTTTGGGAAAATTGATTCGGAAGTGTCATTCCCTAGATGCATCAGCTCCTCCATTTGGTCGAGACACAAATTCTTTACGTGCGGGAGGGTCCTCCCAACTGCATCTATTTCCCCGCTACAAGTTCCTTCATACACAAATATTTCTTTCCAAGGACCATTATAAACATGGAGCTCTTCAAGATTACGTAATTTCTCAAGGAAATGAAATGACTGGGGGTGTGCACAAGAAAATACAATCTCTTTTAAATTGATAAACAACTCTGCTGGGAGTGGACCATGCGCTTCATTCCAAATCTTCGTGTTCTCGTCCAAGTCCAATACTTTCAAGTTGGGGAATGGATTACCCTGAAATAATATCAACTTCTGGATGTCATTGTCAACCCACTTGGCCAGTTGCTTAACTAAATATTATATTCAGTGGCGTTCACCTGGTCACCGGGGACCAAGGAATACTGTGGTCACCTGCCGTTAGATCTCATCCAAGGGCAAATAATGATTCAAGCCTTAATTAAATTAAAAAATATATTTTTTTTAATTATTTAAAAAAACTTCAAATATAATTTATACCGAAGTGAAATTACGCCTCACCCTTGCTCAGCCGCTTTCACTCTCCAAGAATTATTCATCTGATGTCACCGACTGAATTATTTTAACTTTCAAAAGTTTTTTTTTCTCTATTTAAATTTCCAAGTCTATATTTTGCTGTATACATCGGTTGAATAAAAACAATAGTCGAGATTAAAGGGAGTAGTATATATATATATATGTCAGTAAATTACTATTGTTTTTATTCAATGGATGTGCTTTAAATTTTTTGACAAGGTGGAGGCCAAAAAATCATTTTAATAAAAGAAAAATATGTAATACTTAATAGTAATAAAAATTGCAAAGAAAATATATGAAGAGGAATTTCGCTACAGGAGCAAATAGTGCAAGAGAATTATGTACCTTGTCAACTTGCTCAGCCGCTTTCACTCTCCAATCCAAAAAGAACTTGGCCTCGGTTCTCCCTCAATCTCTTGTCAATTTCCAATTTTGATTTTTATGATTTTCTTTGGGTTTTTCTTTTCTTGGCTAAATTCAGTGTTTATTCAGTTTTTCTTTATATAATCTTATTCGATGATTTCATGTACTCTACTGGGGAATCCTACATAGAAAAGAAAGGAGGCATTTCTGGAGGGTGAAAGGGAAACGTGAGACAGTGAGTGGGTTTAAGCATTAGTTGTTTGTTTTTGTTGGTATAATTGAAATTTTAGCAAGTGTTTTTTAAATTATTTAAGGCTTGAATCATTATTTACTGTTGGATGAGATCTAACGGCAGATGTCCAAGGTGTTTCTAGATCCTTGGTGACACTATATTCATCTGATGTCACCGACTGAATTATTTTAACTTTCAAAAGTTTTTTTTTCTCTATTTAAATTTCCAAGTCTATATTTTGCTGTATACATCGGTTGAATAAAAACAATAGTCGAGATTAAAGGGAGTAGTATATATATATATATGTCAGTAAATTACTATTGTTTTTATTCAATGGATGTGCTTTAAATTTTTTGACAAGGTGGAGGCCAAAAAATCATTTTAATAAAAGAAAAATATGTAATACTTAATAGTAATAAAAATTGCAAAGAAAATATATGAAGAGGAATTTCGCTACAGGAGCAAATAGTGCAAGAGAATTATGTACCTTGTCAACTAACAAAAAAGGTTGTATGATTGATGCACCCGAATTAAGTATTTTTTGGAATCTTGAATATTCGGAAGCAAAAATCTCCACTTTACCACATTGATCGAATCTCAACTCTTTGAGTAATGGCCACTTGGAAACATGCAGCCCCGGATAGAAACTCCTCATTTGGGGAAGATGTTCAAAGTGCACAAATGTTACATTAGGAAACACAAACTCCTCAGTTGGTGTCATTTCTACTCCTTCCTTGGCAACAATTTCCTCCAACTGAGTAGTTGATGTGTCATATGTTTGTTCAAATACCACTTGTAGTGACTTGCATTCTTGTATTCTTAAGTTGTCTAAAGCATTCAATCTTCCCATCATACTTGGCGCAAAGATATTAATTAGAGTGTTGCATCTGCAAACTTCAACTTTCTTGAGCTTGCAAAAGGAGTTTGGGGCAAGTTTGTTGTGCCATATAGTCCTCAATTCAGGTAGGTCACGGATGATCAAGCTCTCCAAGCTAGGAAATCCTACCTGTATATATATTCAT